GTGATTCACAAGGGCTTGTATATCATAGTTCAGGTTAGCTTGGAACTCACAGTGTAAACTGTGCTGGCTGCAGACTTGCAGCAATTCTCCTGCCTCAGACTCCCGTTGGTTACAATTACAGGCATAAACCAAGCCAGGCAACGATTGGCTTCTAATATCCAGAGTGACTTGTCATCTTTAGCCCACCCCTCCGTGTGTCAGCAAGTGGGAAACCCCAAGGAGGCTCCTGGGAAGGTTCCACAGGGACATGTCAGCCCAGCTGTCCAGGAGCAGGTGAAATTCCCACATGGCAAGTCACTGTGGAGATGGATGGGAAGCTAACTTCTTCTGTGTTGTTATTTATTCTGCAGGGTAGGGTGTGCTTTGATGGAAACAGCAGGCAGTCCAGGTGGCTAGCCCACTCCAGCAGTCTTCGAGGTGTGTTTAGACCGTGTCTATACAGAACAGTGCATACTTTCATCCTCTGATCTACCCACATGCATTGAGAGCCACTGTTTCAGCCCCACTGAGAAGACATTGTCATGCTCTGTACCACTCCACTCTGTGTATGCCACCGAATTTGAAGATGGCTTTGCTAGGTGCTCACTTCAATCTATACAGTTTTATAGATTTGTGGCCTTTACTCATGGCCACAATCATGCAACCCCTGACCCCTCATCAACAACCTCAGACATTATTTTCCTATGGTTGTTTATATCTCCTTCTTTTGTTTTACATTTTTATGTGCTCTCTACTATATTTTGGTCACCATCACCCCTCATCTCCCTCCCCTTCCTGCTGATCCCATCCTCTTTCTAACTAGGCCCTGATCTACTCTCATGCTCCTTTGTGTGTGGCTCAATAAGTTCCATTAGGGCTGTTCACAGGAGCATGGGTAAGGATTTACAGGATCACGGGCACCTTATCCATGGATACACCACTGAAGAAAATGTTTCTTCCTCCCCCAATAACCATTAACTGAATATAAATCTTCAGGAAGGAGCAGGGGCCTTGTGACCCCCCTCCTTGCTCTGTGGCACAATGTGGACAGGCCCAGTCTTATGCAGGTTTTAGAGTTACGGCCACATTATGCAAAGGCGGGCAGATCTCTGTGAGTTTGAAGAAGAGATGGAGAGCGCTGGGATCAAAGGCATGCACCACCACTGCCCAGCATGATGTCTTTTTTTTTTCCAGTCAGCTCCAAAAGGACTCTTGGTCACCCATCCTTCCTGCAATGGGAAAGATGGTGCCTACTCATGGGTCCTCTACTCCTGCTCCAGGCCAGCTCAGCACAGAGTGGCACATCCCTTTCAGGCTTCAGTGAGTCCTGTTTGTTTACACATATTTGAGTCTAAGGGCTAACACGTCTCTGGCTTTTCTCTGACAGACTCCTAGTTCACCCACAGCTGGACATTCCGTCTCTTCTCAGCTGTTCTTCTTCATTCTCCAGGTAGACTCCACCTACAGGAACTGAAACAGCTGGTTTCTCTGACTCTGACCCTTTTCCATCAGCATGTCAGTACCCACAGCCTTCTCTCTGCCCTCATTCTCCAAGCTCTGTCATGCTCTGTCCTGCATACACAGCCACCTTCCTTGGTCCCTCACCCTTTACTTCCCCTTGTCTAGGATACAGAGTGGCACAGAGGGATTGAGTGCCAGAGAAGACAAGAACAGGAAGAGGGTGGCCCCTTGCTGCCCAGAATCTTTAAAGCTTATACGTTGTTTGTCCTGATGTATATAGACTGATGTGTCTGAGTTCCTGGCTCCTTTAGAGATTCCTGTCTCTGACCTCACCTGTTGCTCTGTGGTCTCACCTGTCTAACCAAACAATATGACATGCTGCATGGTTAGCCACTTCCACTCTAACCTCTTCTCATCAGCATCTCGGGAAATTGTTGAAATGCCCTAGGAAAATAATGTATGTGACTAGAGGCTGCACATCAGAGTAATGGAAACATTCTGGGAGAGGCAGAAGAAGCGGGTTCCCCACAAGGCAAATAAATGGACCAAATGAAACAAAAGTGCTCACTTTAACGTGGGTGCCACTATGCTCTCTGAGCTTCACATCAATCATTGTACGTGCATGTGTGTGTGATAGTGTGTATAGACACGAATTTGCAGGTGTGAGTGCATGTGCATGCAGAGGCCAAAGAGAGGTATTAAGTGTCTTTGTCTGTCACTTTTTACCTTATTTTTTTTTTACACAAGATCTCTCACCTGGATTTTAATAATTCATTGAGACTGGCTGTCCAGAGGACAGCAGGGATCCTCCTGTCTCTGCCTCACCTCCAACGCTGGGATTACAGGTGCATACTCCACACCAATTTTGCTTTTAATGTTGGGTGCTGAGAATCTGAACTCAGATTCTCATGCTTGTGTGGCAGGCATGTTACTGAAACATCTCTTTACACACCTACCCCCCCCCACACACACACTTAGTCATCTACTTGATAACACTTCAGAGATAAAGTGCCCAAACTCCTCTCAGATAATTCCTGGATACTACAACCACAGCCTACACAAACCATGGAGGAAAAACAAAGTGCACAAAAGTGTCCCTGTTGCCAGGACCAGCTCCGTGGTCAGGTCCATGACAGAAACTCTGTCTACTCAGATTATGAAAATCTGTAAGAGAAATACCAAGACAGATGTGAAGCACGTCATTGCTTCACATTCAAAGCCCAGGATCACACCCACGGAATATGTGCACCGAAGTTCCCACAGACACGCTGGCTATTTAAAGTCTGGCTCTCAGAATTGGCAAGTTAATCAGGAAGACCACAAGGACTCAGCCACGTGCACTTTCTGACATTTTGGGTTCACAACTGCTGTCTTCTTTGTTTCCAGGGAGTAAAGGCTGAAATACTTGAAATCTGTACATGTTACTTTTAGATTTCATTGAGTGTACTTGTCACTTTACGTGATATAGGAAAAAAAAAAAACACTAAAGATCCAGTTTTCAAATGTTTTGTTGAGTGCCGCCTGCTCAGTTCCTCATAGCCTTGCCCAGATAAAGCTGTTCATTAACAGTCACCTGAGAGAGCAGGACTTTGGACTTTTTAGAGCTGTATTGTTACTTTTATTTTCCAAAGAGTAGACCCCCGCAAACTCATTTGAAGTAAAGCAGTTACAGTTGGAGAACTGTCTTTCAAATATGAACATTGATTTTTGTTTTTTAAATTTGTATTTATTTGTTTGTGTGTGTGTGTGTGTGTGTGTGTGTGTGTGTGTGTGTGTGTGTGTGTGTGTGTGTGTTCTATGCCCTTAGAAGCCATAGAGAGCATTGATTGACCTGGAGCTGTAGTTGATAAGCAGTGTTTTTAGCTGAGCAATGCCAGCGCTGGGAACTGAACACTGGTCTCCTGGCAGGCAGGGTATCCTAACCACTGAGCCATCTCCCCAGTTCCACATATTGATTTTTAAATGAGCCTCTATTAAGCTCTACAGAGTTAGACCCAGAATAGTTCTTCAAATGCATCCTCTTATTTTAACATTGAAGAAATAGAATCTGATCATCTGTTTTGTATAGGAATTTAAAGGGAAAAACTTTTCTTTTAACATGCCATCTATTTCTGAGAATAGTTTCTTCTAGTCTTTTATGTGTACAAGTCATCTTTATTTCCTGTTCCTGTGGTGTGACTTGGTTAATGCTTCTTCATTTGTTTCAGAAAGAAAGGCAGAAGTGTTGTGGGATGTCTTTCTGTAGACTGTGAATATGTGTTGCTCCCATTGGCTAATAAATAAGGCTGTTTTGGCCTATGGCAAGGCAGCTTAGAGGCAGGTGGGAAATCCAGGGGGAGAGACAGGAAGAGAAAGGCAGAATGGGGGAGATGCCAGCCCAAGGAGCAAGATGCCAGAAGACAGGTAAAGCTACAGAACATGTGGCAAAACATAGATTAATGGAAATGGGTTAATTTAAGACGTAAGAGCTAGCTAGCAAGAAGCCTGAGCCAGTACGCCATACAGTTTGTAAGTAATATAAGCCTCTTGTGTGTTTACTTGTCTGAGCGGCTATGGGATGGTCAGGACACAGGAAAGCTTCTGGCTACACAGAAGCATGGGCCTCATAAATGTTTGCTAACATGCCTCAATTTCTAACAGTCCTATGGGTAGAGAAGACTCTCTAGTCCTTCTGGCCCCATCATAACTATCATGAACATTCCCACAGGAATCTTCATGACATATGCAGGGATGTAGAAATGAAAGCTTCCAAAATTAATCTTAGGTGAGGGTTGTCTGGAGATAATGAAGTATCTCCCTGGCCAGGTATAGAGCTGACCTCTGCTCAAGATGGCTGCCCCCCTTTCCCATATATGAATTCCCTCTAGGATGTGAAGAGTGCCAGGCAACCCAAGCTATGGAGGACCTTGTAACATTCAGAGAGCAGGGCTTATTCAGCCCACCCAGAAGAGCCTTGTGTTGTTCATCACTGCTCCAGTCATTCCCAGCTCTATCCAGGACAATAAATATTAAGCAAATGCTAGGTACTTACCTAATTTGCAGAATTGATCAGACATCTCAAAAGCTTGATTCCCCAACAAAAGAAAATGGAGTGCTCTGTGCAAAGGTTAAGTGCATGGTTTAATTGGCAATTGTGCCTTAGGAGCCTATTGTGAAGTGATCACTGTTTGAGGGGATGCTTCGGATGGCACAGTCAGGGAAATACCTTTTCATTTTTGACCATTAAAAGCCAAATCCCAGAATTGAAGCAAAGAAATGAGGTGGCCTCTGTCTCACCAGCATGCCATTTTTTCCCTCCTACACTCTACCTCCAGCTCAGAATTTAGAACATATTAAAAATGCAGAGTTTAAAGATTCCTTCCTTACCTAAATAATTCATCCGAACCTAGCAGACTGTTAAATATCAGAGAGACCAAGTACACACAGCATCAGGATATTTTGGGTATTTACCACTTAAGACTAAGGACATGGCAACCTAACGGAGTCTAATAAAATTAATTTGGGCTGAGGAAGAGCATTTTTACAGCAATCGTTTTTGACAAAGGCATTTAAGGAAGTACCTGACAGGAAGTGAAGATTGTCAGATTTCCTGTGATGGGTGGCAAGTAAATGAAACGCCCTGCCATTTGTTCCAGGCAGGACTTGGAGCGGGCAGGGTGTCTTGGAGGTCATGAGGTCAGAGATGTATGTTGTCCCCAGAGAGAATGGTTAGGCTGCAGAGGCATACACTCTGTGTCACGCAAAAGCTTCCCTGTTCCTGAGGGGTGTTTGACACATTGGAGTGTCCTCTGGGTCCTAGGTTTCTGTCTCAGTTTTCTTTCCAGTTGGCTGTGAGAGAACACCTGACAAAGATGGTGTAGGGAGGAAGGGTTTCCTTGGTTACAGTTCATCATCGTGGGGAAATTGAAGCAGCTAGTCACGTCCACAAACAAGGACAGGGAGCGAATACATTCGTACTTACCTAGTGCTCAGTCTAATTCCTCTTTTCTGTATACTCTAGGGCCCCATCATAGGGAATGGTGCCAGAGTGGGCGGGTCTTTCTGCCTCAGTTAATGCAATCAAGACAATCCCCCCCAGACCTGCCCACAAAGCCAAGCTGATCTAGGCAATCTGTCAATAAGATTCCCATCTCAGATAACTTTACGTTGTATGAAAATGACAGAACTGGCCATCACAGCCACCTAGACCATGGCCCCTCCTTCTTTCTCCACCTTGATGCTGCTTTACAAAAGGTTCTCCAAAATGTCCATTTTAAGGCCATTTTGATTTGGAAACCTCCACCTTGTGGCTATGTTTCCCTGTGGCTTTCTTTCTATCTCATTATACTCTGAGCTTCACAGGCATATAGAGATTTCTGGAAGAAGATTAAACACCTTCAATGGACACGTAACTCTGTGGAGAACATCAGCCCTGCATGCTCCAGGCCCTCAATTTGGTCCCCAAAACTGCTGAAGTTCCCAGGCATTTGGGAGCATGTTGAAGTTGAGGAAGAAAGGCCTTCTTCAGAGTAGATAGGGAAGGACACGGTGATCTAAGTGGGGCTTTCTTTCCACCACCACCCCCATAAAACAATCTCTTAAGTATGGAGAAGCCTCATTGAAAACCACCGGGGATTACAATATTCTTACCCTCCAGTGAATTCAGAAAGGGTTTTGTAGCCTGACGGCTGTAGCACACAGCTTGATCAGGATTCCAAAAGTAAAACAGACATCATTGCCACAATAATGGCTGCCTTTCTGTCCAGAATAGAAATACCAGGATGGTATTACTCAATCTCCCCTTGCCAAAGAAGGAGTGAGACAGTCAAATGCCATTGATACCTAGTCAGCAAGGGAAAACACTAGCAGATGTCCATCAAGTCCCAGTGGGCATTTCACTAATGCATGAGACTTCTGGGAGAAGAGTTCTATTACTTATACAGTGTTCTGCCTGCATGTTTCACTGCAGGCCAGAAGAGGGCACCAGATATCATTACAGATGGTTTTGAGCAACCATGTGGTTGCTGGGAATTGAACTCAGAACCTCTGGAAGAACAGCTCATGCTCCTAACCTCTGAGCCATCCCTCCAGCTCAGGAAGGGCATTCTAAATATGGGCTGTAGGATGCTGCCTGGAACATTCCTCCTGATTTCTGATCAAACATTCAGACTTTGATCTCTCTGTCTTGTTTGAAAACACACACACACACACACACACACACACACACACACACACACACACACACACACACACACGAGAGAAACAGTGGGGAGGACATCTATCTCAACTGATGGTATTTCTGTTGATCATCCCAACTGATTAGCTAAATGATAGCCAGAGGCAGGGATTAATTGGAAGAAATGGAGTGATGGAAAATTGGTCCTACAAAAGATCAGTCCTTAGGACAGCCTCCTCACACCTGCCAGAGGAGGACATGTGTGGACCCTTTAAACTTATTGTCCTTCTAGGCTTTCAGAAACCCAATCTGCCACCTGAGACATGCCCTGTAGGTGTCACCATTGATACCGTGTCCCAAAGAGCATCAAAGTTCTTCCCAAGCAAACTTGTTTCTTCACCAGCCTGTCATGGTTCCCAGCATTCTCCCATGTGACCCTAGGCTAAAGCAGGGCTTAGATGTGGATTCAGGCTGAAGAAGTGGATATGGATTTCACTTTGTCATAACCAGGTGATTAACAGGACAGTACAACATTGTGATAACCTGCCTCACACCCCTGTTGAAGGGTTTCATGGCCAAACACACATCCAGCATGAAAAGCAGAGGCTGGAATGCTAAACCATGCAGTGTAGTAGGACAATTTCATTATACAAGCCCCAGTGATTGTCTGGCAAGTAGGAGACAGCAAAACCCAGATCACCTCCAGTTCCTGCACTATCCCAAGGGATTGAGCAGAGGTGTTTTGGGGAGGGGAGGGGAGAAAGAACCTAGATTTGGTGGGTGTGGATGGGTTCTTAGCTGCAAAATGCAGAAAGCCATTCTAAAAATTGATCAAATTGTCTACAGCCAGATCAAAGACCATTGACATGGCCATTGTGCAAATTGTGTGACTGTAAACACCAGGGGTCAGGGGTTCTGCCCACCCCTGCATGAGTATCGTCCAATTTGAACCTAAGACATTCATTCATGGAAAGTATGTTCTCATTTTATAAATGAAGAAATTGGCCCACAGTGCCTCATAGCTAGAAAATTACAGGCTTGGCAGCTCATCTACTGCTCATACCTGGACCTGTCTATATTCAGCCAAGTTCTCTCCGTTGACACAAGCCTGTGAGCAATGGAGACACAGAAGTATGGTTGTCCCAAGATGTGCCGATCGGCACCTTTTCTAGTTTGATGTAGGTTGTCTTGGGAAATCAGAATCTCAGAGACATCCTGCTCCTCCTGCCTCTTGGAACAGAGTCTGTCTTAGCAGCTACTGGAATGGATTTGGCAGCATGCAGCCACATGGCCAGGGTAGGATGGCTGAGAGTGGAGCTATGACAGCAGACAGGTCCTACTTCTGCTCTTTACAACCTAACAGTTGGCTTGTGCTTTTGCTGACTTCTCCAGTGCCTGGGTTCTTTTAGACTCTGAGACAGATTGTGCCAGAAACCAAATGCATTCTATTTCTACCTCCTAAGCAAAAGCAGGGACTGGGCTGCAGGACCCACTAGTCAGTGGCCATGACTGTCTCTGCTCTCCATGGCACCCCAGACTGCCAAAAGGTTCCTCCCAAGGGCCTAACCGGGGGTGAGGCCAACCTACCCTGAGACCATTTCTGCCAATGCAAAACTCGTCCTTATTTAAAAATGACATGAAAATACTCTCTGAGCCTCTGTGGTGAGCTTGGCACACCTCACCCAGACACAAGAAGTATCTGGGGCAGGTGCACAAGCAAAGCATGCAGGCTAGGAAACTTGCCTGTGTCACAGTGGCCTGGAAATGGTGGACATCCAAGTATGAAATCACCCATCCTTGAGCAACCCCCTTTTCTCTGTGGAGGGAACTTCAACCGAAGAGAGCTGTAATGAGCCTTATCATATTTTCATGGCTGCAAGCTCTAGAAGACACCAGTTTTCCAATTTTAGGGCCATTTCCTTGGCATTTTCATTTCTCATATTTTTCTACTTCTTATGCCTCTGTAGAAATGTCAGATACATTGCCTGTATTATTGCAGTGTTCCCTGAGAAAATAAAGACATCTGGCCTCTAGGAGCTGTGAGGGGACAATGGAAAATAAATGAGACTCCAGGACACACAAACCAGGGGCCCCGATTGCGTGAAATGGCTGTTGTGAGAATGCTAACTTGCCCAATTCTGCCTCCATCATCAAAACACTGCCAGCAGGGCGCAGGTGACGACTGCAGTGCCTCAGGAGCCCTTCATCCCAAATCGGAGATGATGCCGCAGGACGAAGCTCGGACAGCAGGGAGCCATAGAACTAACAGAGTGTGAGATCTGGAATGTCAATTAAAAAAAAAATTACATGTTTTCTGAGCATGGTCCGAATAGGAACAAATATTCTATTTACTTAATTACAGAAAAGATTATTTACCGAGGACCTACTATGCAGTCATACATAGGTAAGAAAAATCCTTGTCTTGAAAATCTTGTCCAACTGGCAGAGGACTCATGAGAGCTGCTATCATGCAAGGTGGCAAGTGACAAGCAGACCAATGCAGGAAAGCACCAAGGTGGGGGGAGGATGAGCCAAGAGCACGGTTGTTGGGGACCTTGAGCAGAAGATATCCCTGAGCTAATGTCCAAAGAAGAACTCAGCCCACGGGACTCACAAGGAGACTCACATTGAGCAAAGCATGTAAGCAGGCCATATGTGAGCAACCAGGCCAAGGCCTGACTCTGTGCACAACTCCAAGTGAAAAGAGGGGGCCTGGTCAGACATCAAGGCAGATCTGGTGGTGACAAGTGTGACATGGCCCGGTGTTCAAGCTTTCCCAAACTCCTCTTAGCTCTATTTCTATTTGTGAGGCTAGACAATAAGGGGGCGTGTTTCCAGCTGGCAAGAGCTGAAGTTAGACATTGTGTCCATTTCCACAGCTGGGTATAACATACGTTGATTTAGAAATTAGGGTTTGAATACCCTCACCCCACTGGTGTGAACCCCATCCCAATCTGACAGACTTCCCCCAAAACACTAGTCTCCTTGGACTAATGTCCTGACTATTAATATAAGGTGAGAGGGGGAGGGGGCAGGAGGCAGAAGCTCCTTGGGAAGGCAGCACTTTTCCAGCCATCTCCACCTCCCATAGAAACATGGGGAGAATGATCCGTGGGGTGACTTTTGATGGTTACTGCCACCTTCTTCTTTCTCTGACAATTGAGTCGAGTCTGTAAGTGGTGTGTCTTAGCAAACAGGAGGCCTCTGAAGACAGGTGACTAGAAACACTTGAAGCTCGGCAGCTCAGCAGCTAATGAAGAACACAATTGCTGCTGATTTGAAATGATGACAGGGTCCTCAGCTGTTGCCAGTGCCCTTAGCACGTTTTGAATCTGTTTAGGTGAAAAATTATGGGAACTTAAAGACCCACGGCTTTCTGGAAATTGTAACAATCCAGTGTATCCACACAAGTATTAAGGCAGCATCTATTTCTCACCAGAGTATTGGAAGGGAACCTAGGAGTGTGTTCTGGATGTGGAAATCCAAACAGCATTCATATGCCCATGGGTTCCCTGACATCTGAGGAGTCTTCTGTGAGTGCTAACCCACCTTGGTTCTCACCAAGAGAGAAGGATAGGATGGGATCAACAAATGGCATGTGTGGAAGAGTCAGATCTACATTCAAACACTCTGGGCCCGCTTCTGATCACTACATCCCTACATTCCACATACTATATAAACTCTAATTGTATATCTAAAGGAGATTGGAGGTATGCATGCTCCGGGACTGTGGTCTGTCTCAGTGACCTAGTCCTAGTTTGCTAGGTAGGTTTGTTTTTGTTTGTTTATGTATGTATGTATGTATGTATGTATGTATGTATGTATGTGTGTGTATGTATGTATGTATGTGTGTATGTATGTATGTATTCACTCAATTATTTATTTATTTATTTATTTTTCTATTATCAGCTAGATACAGTATAAATTCTTATCCTAATAGTGAAATGTTTCACTGAAGCTTGCCCAGTAATTGAGTAAAACCAAAACTTACTATAAGCCAGTCATCCTAGGGTCCCCCTTGCTATGTATCCTCCCTGGTTCTGTGTGTTGCAGTCTGATTGTTTTTTGCTTTATATATAGTATCCACTTATGAGTAAGTACATACCATGTTTGTCCTTCTGGGTTTGGGTTACCTCACTCAGGATGATTTTTTCTAGTTCCATCCATTTGCCTGCAAATTTCATGCTGTCATTGTTTTTCTCTGCTGAGTAGTACTCCATTGTGAATATGTACCACATTTTCTTAATCCATTCTTAAGTTGACAGGCATCTAGGTTGTTTCCAGGTTCTGGCTATTACGAATAATGCTGCTATGAACATAGGTGAGCATGTATCTTTGTGGTATGATTGAGCATTCCTTGGGTATATGCCCAAGAGTGAAAGGATATCCCATGCTCATGGATAGGTAGGATTAACATAGTAAAAATGGCAATCTTACCAAAAGCAATCTACAGATTCAATGCAATCCCCATCAAAATCCCAACACAAATCTTCACAGACATGGAAAGAAAAATACTGAACTTCATATGGAAAAACAGAAGACCCAGGATAACT